AGAATTTAAAAGGAAATCACCTGTTTCTATTTATAGATATACCTTTTCAATTCAAGATCAAACTATGTAATATGGTTTGAGGACGAGTATTATATTTTCGTAGTTGCAAGTATGTCAAATGACATTCATTTAATTGGTTCAATGCTCTAATTCTGAGACAAAAGATTTAGAAAATCAATAAAAATAAAACAAGTAGCTATGAATTTACAAACTTTAAAGCTATATATGGCGTATCTGAGCTTAAAAAAAAAATAAAATAAAAATACGAGATTGAGTGAAGATAAACGTGATATATGTTTTTTACGTTCAAATAAAAATTTTCACCGATTTTGAACTTGAATAACCTAATGTTTCCATAGTTAAATTGATTTTAAACTGTGTCTGTTAATTAAATGCGGAGTCGTTAAATAAATCGGATATTGTGTTAAATTTCTAATACCAGTGAAACGTGATTGATTTTAATTGTGTAAGTTACAGGAAAGTCCTATCTTTATATAAAGTAATAAAACAAACAGAAAGATCTTTTCAATTTTAGTTAAATACGCCATATATGACTTTAATAAAATAGTTTAGGACTGTCTTTTCCAGAGATACTTTCAAAGTGTAATGTGTATATTATATCTTCCTGAAATTATGTATATTATAAAACGTAATAAAGAAAAACGTAGAAAAGATATACAAAGAAAAAAAATTTAAAAAGCATAAATGGAAAAATGTGGGGCTCGAACTCGCAATCACCATATTTACATTCCAGCAATCATACCACTGCGCCAACGAAGTCAATGACGTCGAATGGATAAATTTAAGGCAGATTGCTAAATCTTACGATTATATGAGAAGAAAATTTGAATATATATTTTCATCATTTTCAATATGAAGACCACCTTTAACCAAAATTATCTAAATGTAATGAAGTGCAGTCATATCCAAATAAAATTATTCAAAAGTTGTTTTTCTGGTTAAGTTTGTCATCTTTAGGTGGATACCTCAATATTTACTATACACTCCATACAAACTGGATAAATTTTATATTTATCATATGAAGGAACTATCAATATTGAAATATCATTATTGTGTGGTTTGGTTTTACGTATGTATAAACTAATATTGTATGACAAAATTTTGGTTAAACAATCAATTTAAAAAATCACTAGTATAGTAGGCGATAATGCCTATCAAATGCGCTATGGCTCTTTGAAGCCTTTCAGCGGTATTTGGTGACGTCTCTATGTGAGTGAAAAATTTTCGAATGGATGTAAAACAAGAACTTTCCAAAATCAAATATCACAAATTATAAGAATTGTGCACCAAACATTGATAATAACTCAAGATTAAATAAATGTTGTTTTGATTGTATTACATTAATTTGGTGTTCCTTGTAATGTCGATAAAGTTTCTTAACGTCAACATTTTAACTTTTTTTTCTATTTACATTTTTTTTCTAAAACTCCTAAGGCGTTATAATGATAACGACTAATACTGATTACCTAAGAGGACATAGATAGTGGATTATATATATGTTTTACGTACACAATGGTAGCACACATCATGATGGTTACATGGAATCGTAAATTTATCCTTATAGAAGAATGGCAGCTTAAGTGGAACACTGCATCCATTTGTCCAGAGAGGTATAGCACAGTTCTGAGACAAACACACGCATCCCATCGAGAGTAAAATCAGTATTCGGAAGGTCGAGTGGCCCTCTAAAAAGTGAATTAACATTAAAATAGAAGACAAAATATTGATGAATTTTTAGACTAACTAGATAGCATAGAATGTAAAATCAATATTTGTAAGGTTATATAGATATCTGTAATTAATGTGCTCTAAATCAAAAATGAAAGTCTATGACTTTTTTTTATAAATTAACTGATTGGTTAAATTCTGCATCAGAGGAGGCCTTAGAAAAATGAACTGAATATGAGACAAAGATTTCTTGATTTTGTACTTACGGTGCATTTTCATGGAAAGTTTATTCACCTGAGCAATGTTTACATTTTCACCACCCTCAGAATGTACTTGTCCAGTGCACAGGTTCATGGATTTATACAAATGACCTTACGAGCCTTGATTATGAAAAATGATGCATGGTCGTTATGAAAGAGTACAAGATGCTTATATCGTGGTGTGTAATAATTTCCTCCAGCAAAACCTGTAGCTATAGATAATCAATGATGGTCTCCAGACTAGATGACATCGTACCCGTTTTAAATGTGTTAGATATAGAATTTGTAATTATATACATGTAGTATGTACCTCAATAATTCAACGTCATAATAATGCATTCAGCTTTTTTTATTTATTTTATTCTTCCTTAGTCTATGTCTATATTCAATTCTTTACAGAATTTAATCTGATTTCGTTCCTACTTTAATTATACGTTAGCAACATCCAACTGCTATCATCCATAGCTAATATTTTTAGAATTAACATTTTTCAATTATATGTAGCATGCAATTTATGTACACTCTGAAAAATACAATTAAAATGTATTATATGTTGGATTTAATTTAGATTAGGAAGTTTACACTAAACTAATGATATATTTTAAACCTTGAAAAAATTTTCACTGTCATATCTAATGTTTTTTATTTTAACTTTTATAAACATTATTTTAAATGTAATTCTAAATAATCATATTAATAATGGATTATATAAATTGTATAATTTAGGAAGTTTTAGAATTGTTCGGAGTAGAGAGAGTTAAAAAGACAAATAAAAAACATAAAGAAATTAAAATCTTGAAATTTATCAAGTTCACGTTCTTTATTTTTCTTTTCAATACGACACTTCAGAGTACATATAGCAATAAGTAAACATTTATACAGTATATGTATATGTATGTGTATAAGGTGTAACAAAATGAGAGTGAGCATAATAGATAAATAAATAGTAAGTATATAAAACGTGTTATAACAGGTAATTGTAATAAAACACTTAAAAATTACAAATGATTCATGCTTCTATTGGAGGCTTGATATAAATATTTTCCGAGATTTCAATTAATTTCCAAACAGTGGATTTCTTGTATTAATACATCAGTTTTTCATGTTCTAGGGGGAAAAAAACCCACGTGCAACAGAGTATTTCTCAGATTTTCCAGCTCGATACAGTACAGTAATTAATCAAGGAATAAACCAAGTATACTTTAAAATGTAAAAGTCATTTTAAAATTTTATGCACAACTAAAAACTGACATTGTAGGCAATGCAATCAAGCTTCTCCCTCACTTTCTCTCTTTCTTTCTCTAGAGGGAGCGGGGTATTGCTCGTGAATTTCTGCCACTCATGTAAGAATAATGCCAATATGCCTTGATAGTTTCTACTGACACTTGATGAGTGTGAGAGGAAGAGGAGATACTTCCGATTGTGTTTTGTTAAATATCCTGCAGTGAATGAAGGATATCGAGCATTTGAAGTAAGTACACGTTACCCCGTCGTTTATTATTTTTATTTATTTATTTATTTATTATTTTATTTTATTTTTGTTTTGTTGGGGGGGGGGTCGCATTTAATAAATAATTTAAATATTTATTAATTTACCTTCCACAACTCCCATATTTTGAAATATATATGAGATAAATAATAATGTAAATATTTCATTTAGTAAGAAACAAATTTTATTGAAAGCTCAAATATGTACAGCTTTAGTAAAATGTGAAAACTTAGAATTTATGTATGTGTGTGCACTTATCTGAAAAAATTAACATAGGAAATTCACTATTCGATATTTTCTCTTGCATGTACGTACATAACTTCATGCTTACTTCGGGATCATTGCAATGATGCCCTGGAAAATTTCATGTCCATCGAAGACGGGGATAATCAGTGGAAACGAATGTGCTTATTTTATGAATAAATCTACCACAACTCATTCCTTCTACGTTTGATGAAATTTAAAATATATTTACTATTTATGGTTTTATCAAATGTTATACCAATATTTTCATTTCCATTAATATCTTATAGCTTTTCTTCTTTAATTGGATTCGATGTAATGACGCCCCGGGAAATTTCCCTCAAAATTCAGATCGGAAACTTGGGAAAATGTGCATATCTTATTGATCATTCAGTTTAGAAATATTTAAATAGTTAAAAGGTAATGAGATATTTACTGACTATATACGGCAATGGCCATCAATAACTGAACTAAACTGTGACAAACGGACTGACTTCAACTTTTCCATCTTCAACTTTCCCTTTCCCATTTAATGGATTTATGTATACAAGTATACAAATATCAATGATATTCCAAACAACCAAATTGATATCGATTTACCAAATCTATACTGGATTCGAAATTCTTTCAAAGACATATATCGGGTTCTAGTAAATGTTCTACCAAGCTTATTTATTTACTCCTCATGAAATTATTAACAGGCATCATTGATCGATTGTTGATTTATGTCCAGTTCGAGAATTTTTCACTCATATAGAGACGTCACCATATACCGCGGTGAAGGGCTTCAAATTTAGACCTTTACTCGGCACTTACAGCCATTGAGCAGTGAGGGTTCTTTATCGTGCCGACGCCTATCGTGACAAGGAGCCTCGGTTTTTAAAGTCTCATCCGAAGGACCCGCAATTTTCACTTCCATGTGCCGAGCGCTTGGTGAAGGAACAGTTGCTACTTATTTTTTTATCGACTTAGGTCAGTCGCAGCCGTGATTCGAACATACGACCTTCAGATCACGAAGCGAGCGCTCTACCGACTGAGCTTTCGGCCAGGCAAAATTGAAGGAGAAACTTTAAAAGTACTATTCCTTCAAAAGTACTATTCCATAAGTGGTGTTAATCTATTGTGAATACTTAAAAACGGCAAGGCACTTTTAGAAAACTTGAAATCACAAAATTTACCAAAATCAACAGCATCAAAACGTACTTTTCAACACTTTCTACAACCATTCCCCTCGATAAATCAAAGACCGGGCTTTTTAATATCATAGACAATTAACTGCTTCTTCGAGTAAAAATGGAAAATGTAAATATGCCCCAAAATTATTTAACTAAAAAAGTTCCATTCTTTTTGACAATTTTTTTTTCTTTCTGAAACTCGTCTGTCAAATTAATGTCTCTCTTCTCTTAGGAGCTTATTTAGTAGAATCCCAATTCGTAAGAGTCCCGGGTTCTTATTTTTATTTATCCAATCACACCCCTTTGCTGCCTTAACACTCTCACAGAACATCTCAACTGCTTCAGAGTAGTTCCCAGCTCTCTGTTGACAAATGCCTATGATGTTGTATGTCAGAAATGAACCATTATTGTGTTCATCGTCGTAAACGATGGCTGACAGATTTGTTAATGCCTCCATTTTCATTTCAATGCTATTTGACATCTCAAAACTCAAAAATCTTAAGAAATGTAGGTAGACTAAAGCTGGTACTTTGATCAATCTAGTATGGAGGTCGTGAATCTGCATCTCAAGTTCCATTGCCTTTGGCCACAAATATGATGACCTTATTATTTCAATGTCAACCACACACCCTCGTTTCATTTTCTCAGACAGAGGAAGATCATCCGAGGAAATCGCACTTTGGTAAAGCTCTCTGCGGCCTGTATTATTTGATACGTGTCTGAAATCCCGAAGGTATACGGTAAAAGGCAATATGTTTTGCAATGCTAAGTTGGTGACCATAATGCATCTTCTTATTTTGTCAGTGCAGAAGTAAAAGGAAGCAAGAGATAATCTTCCACTGGTCACATCACTGGCGCATCCTATCCTTAAAAAGGCCTCCGATAAACAAAGCATCAGATACCTCCTTCTATTAGTGTGAGAATTCTGGACAATTCGATAAGCTATTTTCCCTGCTGCGTTTACCAACTTGTAATACATCTGTTTTAATGTATCTCGCTGAATATCACTTAATGTATCCGAGTCGAGAGCTTTTTCAACATTTTGCATAAAAAGTTGTGCTCTAGACCAACACATAGCACTGAAGTAGCTATCCCCAATGTATTCAAAGAAAACAAATTCGCATCTTGCTTGTAGATCTTCAGGTGACAGATCTAGAACATCGACAGATTTGGGGGGATCTGCGGAGACATCATTTTTCACTCCCTCGAAAGAAGGGCAACTCAATACCTCTGTCAAAAGTTCGCTTCTGAGTGTTAATAATCGTTCAAGAATAAAAGCCTTCTGGAGTGGTCTCAGCTTCCGTTCAATAAGGTTTCTTTCTGGGATAAAGTAATGTGGAACAAACTCTTTTCTAATCCATTCTTCTAGTTGTGAGAGACATGTTTGGATGCTCTCTTTCAAATTGCCACCGCTGACAAAATTCGGAAGCTTGTCCTCGCACACCCAAAACATCAGAGTTCTAATCATGTATGAGGATATGAAATCATCACAACCTTCAAAACTGTTCAAACGTTCGTGAATAAAAATTCTGATGATTTGGTAAAGTGTAAAAGTTGCGTGGTCCATTGAATGAACCAGGGTGCATTCGGCAACTGAAAAACACAGCTGCCATTCGTGAATTTTGGTATCAGAGGACGGGTGACCAGTTGGTACACATTGACAGCCGTCTTGTATAACTTTTTTAATAGTTTCAGGAGTCGGCCAGTATCGACAGCGGTCTCTAGTTTTCCATTCTTTGGCTGCTGGTGGCCAGCCAATGACGGGTAGTGCGCATACAGTTCTCTGTCCCCCTGCCACAATGACTGGTCCCTCAGAACACGAGTTGCTGGACGAAAGTTCCAGGCATTTCTTAACAAATAGTGAGCTAGAAAAGTACACATGGCGTTCCTTGTTAGCATAAAATAATTCTCCCGAAAAAACTGGACCAGATATATACTTTAACATACAATATCCAGTTCCTGTGTACTCTGCAAGAAACACCGTCTCTTTTTCAATCGAAGGATTCCATTGGTCATCTTCAGCCAAAACGCAGGTGTTTCTAAATATCACCAAATCATCAATGTTATTTCTTCTGTATTCTATACCATCCCCAAAGCTTCCTATAGCCTTCCGTTCAAACGTATACTCCTGATTTGTGACCTTTAACCAAGTTTCCTCCACAATTCGTCTGACGTCTACACATTCTTTGAATCCCATTAGCCAGTCACATGCCTTCCAGAGATACGAGAACTGGTACGAGCCATTTTTCTTACCCACTGTCATGCTGCATGTAAATTTATTTGTGAATTAAACACTTCAAACCGCTCCCCGGGGATCCACCACTTGCATCATCAAAAATATAGAATACTAGTATTATATTACACGAACATACTATGCATCTACTATTTATTTTATTTTAAAAAAAAATGTGAATATAGGCAAACAGCTTATTTGAACAAAAAGTTACAATGTATATATTCTCACCTGTTCGTACGACAGCTAATTTATCAATATATATCAAACCGAAAGTAGGACAGCAAGCTATCGATCGGGAATTTTTTGTGACCTTATAATATACCTCCTTATAAACAGTACCTCTATTTACAAAGAAATCTCAATTTCAATGACTAGCGTTAGCTTATAGATTAAATCCGCATTTTAATACATTTCATTTATTTCTCTGACATTTAAAGACATAATCAGGTAATTTTCGGTTCATCTTAGAAAACATATTAATGAAAATTTACATTCATAAGCTGGGGTTTTAATGATCTGCGCGTCAAAAATAGTGTCTTGTCGGAAAAGTTCTTCGTACACTTGTTTTTTTTATCAGCGACACACTGATATGTGGAACAAGCACATACAGTAAATACTAGTTAATGTAGTAAGTTTATTACGTGAATCATTTTCCATACTTCCTACTTCCTTCAATCAGCTTCCCTCTAAAACAAAAATAACGATTTAATTGATAAATTTCATTATGAGAGTGTTTTTCCCCTCAACTATTAATCAAATCCATGCAGATCAAGAAGCTGGTGTTCGTATTATAAAAACCAAACAAATAAACTTATTTATTATCAAATGGACGTGTAAATTAATCATACACAAACAGAAAATTCCAAGGTAACATAAAACCTTGACATCACGTGGAAATTCACATCTGACAAAAAGATTCTCAAACTATAAGAATTAAATTGCTATTAAATGGTTTCAAATAACATAGAAATTTTCAATATTACGATATCGAAACTGGTATATCCACTTAAACATCGGCTCCAAACATTATTTATATATTTAACCAGCTTTACTTAAAACTTTTTAAGGATATATGATTATTGACAATCCCAATTTTGACAAGTCATAAGTATCCTCATATTATTAGTTATTATATGTATTAGTTATTAACTATCATTGTTCCAACCAATGTCTCAAACCGGGTTAAATGCTCAGCAGCTGGCACCGAAATGTCAAAATTAGTTGTTTTTTTGTTTTGTTTTTTTTTTCCCATGAAAACATAAGAAATGTTGCTGTACAAAACTTTTATTCTCCATCAGAATCTAAAAGTTTTTGTATCTGTAAAAAAATAAATCCATGCAATTAAAAATATATGCATATAAATAATCACAAATAATGAGCCATGTTAACTTGTGAATCATTACCTAAAAGACATAAATAGCATGTTATTGAACATTATATCTCGGATTTCCTTAATCACCCCCCCCCCCCCCCCCCGCAAAAAATTAACTATAGAAAGTAATATTAATAAATAAAATATATATGAAATGTATCTACCATCAAATCATCTTGTTAATACTAAATAAATTGTTGGTACATGATAGAGAGAGAATATTGTTTAAAAAAGACCTGTAAATCACAGGTGGATGAGAGGGAGAGGCATTTATATATAAACAGAAACAAAATTGTAAATGAAATTTTGTCCTTCTTCCTGTGTCTGAGCCTAGTAGTGCATTTAAATATTATCAATAACAATAGTGCATATCCAGCATTACTGGATACCTTTCAGTTATATTATAAACAAAAAATAAAGTGGACAGCACTTGCATTATACAACTTCAAAAAAAATTCTAAATTTCCAGTACTTTAAAATAATGTTTTTATTAAAAGTAGAATTCACTAACTTTCTAGGTAATTTTCACTTTAAAAAATTACACATTTTCATAATTAATGTGCATTATACATGTATCACTCATGTAGAAATAAAGTATTTATGGATTTAAGTCCTGTATGTTATGAGACAATCAGTTTTAGCTTGTCAGCTATTAAGCTGTCTATTAATACATGTACCATGTAACTTACATTTACATCCATGACCTGCTTTCTATATCATGTATTTATTATTTACTGATTGATACTGGCACTCTGCATAAAAATATCACAACTAAAACTTAATAAATACAGGACAATCACACTAACACAGCTTTGATGAGTGAAAATATCATATAGCCTTGTCCTGAGTAATTATTTCATTAGTTCCAGATCTATTTTTCTTTTCAGAGATGTCCACTCTATTCACTTGGTAACACTGGCCCCTGACTCAGACTTGCCACTACTCAGACTGTGTATAAGAGCTGCTATTTGTGTGTGTTTCTCTAGATTAGTCCTCAGATCCTTGATCTGCTCATCCTTAGACAGCAAGTCAGCTTCATGTTGCTTACACACCAATTCCAATGCTGAAACCTGTAAAGAATATACTGTTACAGTAATATAGCATCTCAAAACTTCACAATCTTTCATTTTCAATAACCACTACGTGTACAATACAGGACCATACATGAAAATAAAGGTCACATATGTAGTTCTGAGTGTTGCTCTTACTGTATGACAATCATAATTTAAAAAAAAAAAAACAAGATGTGTTTGTGAAACCCGTATGGCAACTTATAAGAAAGGTTAAACTTTCTCAAATGCAAATCAAATATGTTGGTACCCAAAGTAAGGTCTTGTCTCGAGGAATAAACCTGTGAAATATGAATGCCCTAGCAGCAACCATTGAATAGATAAGGAAAACTCAGAAGGTTAAAGTTTTTTTCAAAAGAATGTCAAACATCAAGGTCAAGGTCAAATGGTCAAAAATTAATGGTGCCCAAGGAAAGGTCATCTCCCAAGAAATACACAGGTGAAATATAAAAAGCAGAAGCACCAATCGTTCAAAAGTTATGGCCAAGGTTAAAGTTTGGTAAAATTTTGCAAAACTGGGTCAAACTCCAAGGTCAAAGTCAAAAAGTCAAATATGGTGGTACACAAAGAAAGGTCTTGTCACAAGGAATACACATGTGAAATATGAAAGCCATAGCTCCAACCAATTAAAAGTTATGGGCAAGGTTAAAGTTTTTGAGGACAAACAGACAGACAGCTAGACAGACAGACGGACGGACGGGCAAAAACTATATACCCCCGAATCTTTGATACGGAGGCATAAAAAAAACTTTGACTATGCATTAAACATTTCAAAAAATGATCCGATACTCACCTTCCTTCAGTTAACAAAGTTGTTAATAACTTCCTTCACTTCACAAAGTTGTTAATACCATATGATGAAAATTATCTTTTGGTTAACCTTGTCTCTAAGATTAAGTCTGTATTAGAGGATACTATACCTGTTATTGGAGCTGTTTCTTCGTCTTGTTGACTGTGTCTCTAAGTTTGAGTCTGTATTAGAGGATACTATGCCTGTTGTTGGAGCTGTTTCTTCGTCTTGTTGACTGTGTCTCTAAGTTTGAGTCTGTATTAGAGGATACTGTACCTGTTGTTGGAGCTGTTTCTTTGTCTTGTTGACCATGTCTCTAAGTTTGAGTCTGTATTAGAGGATACTGTACCTGTTGTTGGAGCTGTTTCTTTGTCTTGTTGACCATGTCTCTAAGTTTGAGTCTGTATTAGAGGATACTGTACCTGTTGTTGGAGCTGTTTCTTTGTCTTGTTGACCATGTCTCTAAGTTTGAGTCGGTATTAGAGGATACTATACCTGTTGTTGGAGCTGTTTCTTTGTCTTGTTGACCATGGGCCCATTTTACAAAAGAACTTACGACTAAGACTAAAAACTTTAGTTGATTGTAAAATCTTACAAACCTTACGTTTCTGTTAAAAAATTTTTGCATAAAAATATATTTTTTTAAAAATCTTTCCAGAAAGATTAAAACCATTTTCAAAGTAATGCAAATATGAAAGTTATTTGCATAATAACATTTTGATCTTAGTTGTGTTCTTTAGTAAAATGGGGCCCTGGTCTCTAAGTTTGACTCTGTATATTATACCTTTTGTTGAAGCTGTTTCTTTGCCTGCTCTGTCTTGTTGACCGTGTCTCTAAGGTTATCCAACCCTATTTCCAGTTCTGTCCTCTCTTTCTCTGTCTTCTCATATTTGGATTCTAACTTGGTGTAATTTTTTGTTAATTCTATTGTAAAAAAGAAAACATTTGCTAGAGGCATATTTCAGCAATTTTTTTTAACAAACTCATAAGCCTAAAATGCTTGAAATAGTTCAAATTAATAAACCACATTTATATATCCCAAATTTTAGAAAGTTTTCAAAACTGAGGGTAAGGAAATGTGATAATAAAGTGCACTGCTATGGCACATGATTTGTTCATCATAATTGTTTAATCTTCATAAATAGATGAATATGCAAGGAAGAAAATGATATCAACCTTAGTACAAAGATCTCAATGATTTTTCCATTCATAATGCTTGATGCGCATCTGCTATGCTGTATTTATTAATTAGAACAAATAGTACAATACATTTTCAAAATTCATTTATTGAATATGAATAAAAGTGGTATTTAGCCACAGTGTTAAAGAATATCAAAGTGATATTTTTTCACAGCATGACAGAATATCAGAAGTGTGGCAAAACTTGTGATTTCCTTCCCTTCCTTTCAGGAAGAGTGTTGTAAAAATACTGCCATGGACATGAAAAAGCTAACAGACAGACTGACAGAAATGAATGCCATACTATTACATGTCCTGTCTAAAGGCAAGTGTATAAAAATCATGCATTACAAACAAAAATTCTTTTAATGTTGTGCCTGATTTTCTTTTTTATTGCATCCTCTCATTTCGTGTCTTTTTCTTTTATTTTTTGTCATATCTATAAACACAAATAACCAATGAAATAATAATCAAATACCTTGAAGTTTTCCTTCTTTCTCTTTCAAATGTTTTGATAAATTTTTTCTCTCCTCTTGAAGTTTGGATGATTGTTCAGATGCCCTTTAAAGAAGAAAATTCTCATGATGTAGTATGAATCACACCATAAATCCAACTGAGAATTCATCAGAAGTTATAATAATATGAAATAAAGCAAAATATACAAAACTTAACCACATCAGACCAAGTCTTAGCAGAATGAATCTAATATTAAGACTCATAAAGGTTTCATATGTCTTTTAAAGGACTCATAAAGTTTTCTTAAGTCTTTTAACTCTTTATTTTTTATTTGAATCTGCATATTGAAGCAAGAAGAATTTTACACAATTGTGAATTAATTTAAATGTACAAAAAAGCTTCACTTACAAGTCATGCTGCTGTTTCAGTGATACATTGTGTTTCTGTAAAATCTCATGCATTTCTGTCAAAGTTTTTAGCTCTTGTTTGAGAGACAACAGGGATTTCTGAGAAGACTCATACCTTAAATAAACAGTTACACTTATAAATAAATCTACCTTTAAAAAATCATTTCTATATACAGGTTTCTTCAACAGATAAATGGAAATACTTCTTAAATGATAAGATAATTTTAAGATGAGCTTAATTTATTTTGAAATAGGGATACTTTATTTTACCCTAAAATCCTCAAAAGAGAAAGTAACATGGATAACTCCATAAATCCTCAAAAGAGAAAGTAACATGTATATAACTCCATGCTTACCGCTGTGTTATATCTGAATAGGCTGCTGTCAGTTGTTGATGCTCCTCTGATATGTGTTCTAATCTACAGAAAAAAAAAAGACACCTGTTACAAGAGGTCCTTCTCTGACGTACATAAATAAATCTTGTAAATATTGACCCCTCACTCTCTCGAGAGCACTGGGCTATTTAAAGCACATAGTCAGTAAATATGTATCGACAAATCTAAATATACATAACATGATCTTGCTTGAATATCTATTTCAACAAGCAAATTCAAAGAATTGTGGTCCCCCACTTTCGGTGTCTTAGTGGTTGGGATGCCATTATTTATGGCATATTGTAAATGTCTTGACTGTGTGTCCTGTCTTGTCTGTGCATTACATAAAAAAGATATAAATTATTGAATTAATAACAGTTATTGCAGAGATTATAGCTTCTCAAAACTACATCAAACTTCAAGATGAAGGTCATGAGGTCAAATATCATAATAAAATCCGAACGGTCTGGTCATAAGTAATGCACATGTGAAAAAAAAATATCAAAAGCCCGAGTATACAATAGAAAAGGTCTTGAAACAGGTAATACACATGTCAATTGTAAATGCTATATCTTCTCCCAATCAAAAGTTATTAGCAATGTTAAAATTTTTGAAAAGTAGGTCAAACTTCAAGGTCAAGCGGTCAGAAATCATTGAATATTTGGAAAGGTCTTTCACAGGTAAAAACATATATAATATGAAAGCCCGATTTTTTCTCATTCAAAAGTTATTACCAATTCAAAGTAATGTTAAATTTTTTGAAAAGTGTCAAACTTCAAGGTCACGGGTCAAAAATTGTAGTATATTTGGAAAGGTCTTGTCACAGGTAATGTACATGTAAAATATGAAAGCCCTATCTCTTCTCATTCAAAAGTTATGACCAAGGTTAAAGTTTTTGTGACAGACAGACCTACAGACAGACAAATGAGATTTAATGTCCCCTCACTTTCGCAAAAGCGGGGGACAATAACCTCAAATTTTCAACATATTTCAGTTAGGAATCAATCAAAGAATTTAAAATGGTTTTTTTTAGCACTGGGATTATTTAAACATTGTATCATGGCTGTGGTGTTTTTCCTTTGAAGTCAAGTGTACAATAACTGGAGATACACTGATGGGCGGAGCCAGCAAAACTGTGCCGTGTAAATAAATTATTGAACACCAAGGCGATTTCAGCATTTTAGATTACATGTATTTTGAATCTGAATTACAGAATTACATGGGTTTTTAACTATACAAAGACAAAATTTCTGCCAATGAAATAAAGGTCTTTCACATAAATTACAGTGCACATGTATCCCAAAATACGAAATGTTTTACGGAACTCTGCAAAAATTCGATCCACCGCAACGAGAAATCAAGTTCTTGACATGAATTCCAAAAATAAATATCTTAAAATATCACACCTATTGTAATAGAACGTTTTAGCAGGATGTACTATCTTCACTGTGCTGTGTTCTTTGCTCAACGAGAATAAAGTTCAGCTACACTGCATCCATAGATGAAGAGTTATTGACCCTGACACAGCGTTTTTGTTCATGCAACAGCTCTCGAATATGTCAAATGATCAACAGGTATTTTTTTTCTTAGATTAACACCTGAATTTCCCTTCTTCAACTTAGAATTTTTCATCCTTGATATCCAAAGGTTTTCTTATGAATTTCATTAACAATCCGTTGGAGAGCTGCAATCCGACGTCCTTTCTCACGAACATACACATAATATGTGCAAATTAAAAAATACTGGCGGGAAGGAGAGAATATTTATGCGGTCACCTTAGAAAAGCTATATTTTTATTGGTGTAATTAAAAATCATGCTTGAAAATGTGTGACATGACAATTATTAACGTTTTGATTGGCCATGATACAAGAAAGTTATTGAATATTTATTATGGTGTATCCTGATTTATTTGGACGAAGGGGCGGAGACTCGTGCTTCGCACTCGTCACCCCCCTTCGTCCAAATAAATCAGGATACACCATAATAAATATACAATAACTATTACTTTAATGACAACATTCTATTTACAATAGCTTCAAACTAGAACTGTCCAAAATGGACAAATACCCCCCACTGGGTTTTTCAGAGAAGGTACCAAATCACTAATGTTTTCTAGATGTGAGAGGTGTTCACAATTTGCTTAAACATTTAGAGTGAAAATTTAATTACTCATTATATTTTTTTTAATGAATGAAACTAAGGTGCAGCCTAATAAAACATCAATACTAATAATTAGTGTTTTTTTATTTTTGAAAAAATAGTTTGCAACTATCTGTCATCTTCGTGAGACATGACACTCTGCAAATTGATTGTTGAAAAAAAAATATCATAATAAATTATACAAAATAAATTGATCTTATACCTTATATCAAACTCATTTTAAAAATAAAAGGCTGGTTCCAGTAACTATGTATTTTGACAGACATAAATTACAATTAAGAGACTTAGACAACAGAGATCTTTATTTCTTTCTGCCTAATTACCAGGAGATATAGATAAAACCTGCTTGATCAGAGATGCCCTTACAGCTTCCCACACTTAATTCATTAATTAATCTTTAACTGGATGCATGTCCACTCATTACTCCCAAGGGACAAATGAATTTACACTATCTGCTGTGTAATGTAAAAACTGTTTTTAATACTTTGTGATTTTTTTTTTTAGTTCTAATGAGTAGTTTTGAGCTGTAGTTCACATTTTTGTACAGATGTTCTAGATTCTATGTCTCAAACCTTAGACATGAACCCAAAATGACTAAGTCAATAAAAATGAAAAAAAAACAAGAGGCCCATGGGCCACATCGCTTACTGAGCAACTTTGACCATGCTGTTCTTTACCAGATTTCCCCCCCCCCCCTTGTAATACCTATTGTGGCCCCACCCTACCCCGGGGGGTCCTGTCTGAACAATTTAGAATCTACACTACCCAAGGATGCTTCCACATAAGTTTCAGTTTTTCTGGCCCAGTGGTTCTTGAGAAGAAAATTTTTAAAGATTTTTCCTATATAAATCAATGTAAAACTTGGATTCCCTATTGTGGCCCTGCCCTACCCCCGGGGGACATGATTTTAACAATTTAGAATCTACACTACCCAAGGATGCTTCCACATAAGTTTCAGCTTTTCTGGCCCAGTGGTTCTTGAGAAGAGGATTTTTAAAGATTTTTCCTATATATTTCAATGTAAAACTTGGATTCCCTATTGTGGCCCCTCCCTACCCCCGGGGGTCATGATTTTAACAATTTAGAATCTACACTATCCCAGGATGCTTCAATGTAAGTTTCAGCTTTTCTGGCCCAGTGGTTCTTGAGAAGATTTTTAAAGATTTTTCCTATATATTTCAATGTAAAACTTGGATTCCCTATTGTGGCCCCGCCCTACCCCCGGGGGTCATGATTTTAACAATTTAGAATCTACACTACCCCAGGATGCTTCCACATAAGTTTCAGTTTTTCTGGCCCGGTGGTTCTTGAGAAGAAGATTTTTGAATGACCCCACCCTATTTTTGTCTTTTCTTGATTATCTCCCCTTGTAAGGGGACTTGGCCCTTTATTTTAATAATTTAAACTCCCCTTCATCCAGGGATACTTTGTACCAAGTTTGGTTAAAATTGGCCCAGTGGTTCTTGAGAAGAAGTTGAAAATGTGAAAAGTTTACAGATGGACGGACAGACGGACGGACAACAGGTGATCAGAAAAGCTCACTTGAGCTTTCAGCTCAGGTGAGCTAAAAAACACCTGGAAAATGTGGAAAAATTACCAAATAATGTTGAAAATACTAGGTGCACATCTTCATATGGTAAGTAATAAGTGTACAAATTTTCATACAAATCTATGCAATAGTCTCTGGGAACAGATCTGGACAAAACCACATAATAAAATTGAACAAAAAAAAAACACCTGTAAAATGCAAAAAAATTACCCAATTATGATGAAAGTACCAGGTGCACACCTTCATATGGCGAATAATAAGTGTACAAATTTTCAGACAAATCCTTCCAATAGTTTCCAAGAAATGGTCCAGACAAAGTCTCGTCTACAGACAGACAGACATGCTGATTCCAATATACCCCTCTAAACTTCGTTTGCAGGGGGTATAAATACATTACGTATAAAAAGTTACATCCCCAAAACTCCTTTATAAAATTCATGCATGTTTTTGCTTGTTTTTGCTTCTTGAAAGTTGAGTTGAATATAGTTTTATAGACTAAAAGAAGTAGAAAAAGTTGAATTTACAAAAATAAAAACAAACATTCACAAGAATCTCTTTAAAATTTTCTTTCTGAGTACATTGTATGGGTATTTGATATTCTCTGAATTAAAACCAATATCCAGTACTTGTCTTACTTTTGATATTCCTGAGACAGGTGCTCTAACTCCAAACTGAGTTTTTCTTTCTGTAGCATGATCTCATTCAGTCGTTCTCTGTGTTCCTCCGACTTTAACTCAGATTCCTTCAATAACTTTCCCATTTTATGAGCCTAAAACATACATTTTAAAAGATAGCTTTTTCAAAACAGTATTTCATAATACATTTTTGATAAGCTTTGGTATTTTTGAAAGCATTAAATACAGCAATTATAATAAATTGATAATATAGTGACCAAATGTATCTTCAAACTGAGTCTAACGTTTTCAGATATACATACTGCTGTATCTAGCATACCCCTAAACAGGTCTGTATTTAACAATTTTAAGTCAATTTGATTTAGGGGTTTCAAAATCTTATCCTATACAAACACAATCATCTAAATAGTAAATGTAATTAAAATAACTCTTATAAAGTTTTTTTTATTCTAACCCCTGCTTCATTCTGAGCTCGTCGTGATCTGTGCTGGGCGATCAGTCTATCTGCCTGAGATAGAGCCAGAGTTTTAGCATCAAGTAGATCCTGGAGGTGATTCTCCCTGGTCTTCAAAGAAAAGCATCCAGGTAACAAGAGGGAAACAATCGGGATTACTACACTTTATACATAAACATGTTTCATCTTTGGTTATGTAAGTTCAAAAAAAAATAAATTCAATTTAATTTTATTTAAAATTAACATTGTAATTTTACTCTCTGAAAATATACTGTAAAGAAATAGTTAATAAATGCTTGTGATTAATCTTTATGAAATATAGGTGTTTTACAGAGGATTATATTCCATGTATGTGTATCTCATGATAGTAAATTTGATATATATTAGGAATGACTCTAATTCTTGGCCAAATTATTCGAGTATAACCTGGTTTGGGTCAGTTTACGCTTTATAATCCGCGAAGCGGATTATAAAACAGCGTAAACTGACCCAAACCAGGTTATACTCGAATAATTTGGCCAAGAATTAGAGTCATTCCTTATAATTTAATTTTAAAATCATTAAATAACTATGGGTGTAAAATTTCGTTACTTTTTATTAGTTCAAATTTGCCGCTCAATAATACAACCATAGTAACGGAAGTAACGGAAGTGATGGGAATCGAGGGGAGGTAAAAACTGATACATAGGCATAGCAGCCATGTTGTTTGGTTACATGTGGTAAGATCGAATTATTGTTTGAATTTAAAGGTACATTTATTAAATCTGGAATTTTCCATGAATCCCGAGGACTGGAAATGAGAGGATTGTATGGATACAGATGATTCAGCTGGTTGTCAGGGGGGTGTGTCCCCATACCAAACCAGGTTATACAGAAATAATTTGTGTTCCTTTTTGGATATTAACCAATCAGAGGCTAGAATACAAACAAAATTAAATTATATATATATATATATATATATATATATATATATATATATATATATATATATATATATATATATATATATATATATATATATATATACACATACAGTAAAACTTGTCTAATCTGGATGTTGCGTATTCCGAAATCTTGTCTCATACGGTGTTTATTAATTCTCAGTCTCTTTCAGTAAATTCGGTTGATTTAAATGTTGTCTAATTTGGCAAATTTCTATGGAACCAGTGGAGTACATTTAAGACAAGTTTCAGTGTATCTTTCATTTGAACATTTCATGATTTGAGCTATTAACTTGTAAGCTTCATATCAGAAACTAAGAACTTCATAAACTATAAATATAAATCTATGAAAGTAATCACCTGATAGCCTTGAATTTTGTGTTCATAGATGTCTATGATTTCAGATCTGTTGATGTCCTTTATCTACGATATGAAATGGAAAATACTGCATTATTTTTAATTACCTGAACTCTGCTGATAAATTTTAATTTGATAAACAAAGCATGTCATTAGCATTGATTCAGGAAAAACAGCAAATCTAGTATAGCTTCTAAAAAGTGATTATGAATGGAAATGAAAATTTAACTTAAATAACAAACAAAAATGATGATTGTTGTTCTATGACAGGAATAAATAACTGTAGGAAACTGGATTTAAATATTTCTGGCTACATGTGATAGATGGAAGAATGTTAATAAACATACACACATATACTGTCCTTAATTTAAAATACATGTATAATACAGTCAAACCTCGTTATCTCGAACTTCACGGGACCAAGAAAATACTTCGAGATATCCAAGAATTCAAATATCCAGGGTAAAATACTTAAGAAATAAGCACTTGGGACTTCAAGATCACTTTGACATATCCATAGTATTCAAAATATCCATGTTCGAGATACCAAAATTCAACTGTACTTAAATACCCAACAAAGGGTAATGAAAATGAATGACACATACATGTATAAACATACAATTGATACTGCAGTTAGGCGAAAAAAAATTAATCAATATTTTCTCAGGCACCACCGCATCAGGTCAAAAACGGCCGCAATGATCAATTTTATTGACATATTGAAAAGGGAAATAACTCAATTTTCTATAATTTTTCCAAGTAGAAAAAGAAAATTGAGTTATTTCCCTTTTCATAATAATAATAGATAGACGTTTTTATTAGATAAACAATATTCTTCTAGTCTATACAGTCCTTTATTAATTAACTTTTAAAGAAATTTTTAGAATAACATAATTCAAAGTTGAGTACATTATAATTAGTATATTAAGAGAACCAAAAAGTGAGAATCAGTTAATATCATCATTTTGTTGAATGACTGACATGAAAAAAAGATACCTGCTTTAAAAAAAAAAAAAAAAAAAAAAAAAAAAAAAAAAAACTGCCTGCCGCATTGAATTTTGAAATTTTTGACCTGAGAAACTATTGATTATTTTTTTATGGCTTTAGTAGGTCACAGACAGCCAGCAGCACATATTTATTCCAAGCACACTTTCAACCTTTGATTGAAGTCATGCAGAGCTTTGAAAACCCCAGTCAGTTAAATGATTACCATGGTTACACAGATTATATATATACCAAGTATATAATGCACGAAGTAAGGTGTTAACATAAACAGGTCTGAACCATATGCACAGTTCATGTAAATGTAACCAAAGATTACAAAGCTCACCTCAAGCAATGTAATCTATATGTTTTATATGTGAGGAAAAGTTCCATTATATCAAGGAATGCTCAATATTAACTAAGCCAGTGTCATCAAAAGTATACTAATTACACCTCTGGAAAAAGTAGCATCAAACTGCTATGATGTTATGCATCCGCAGATTCATCATTCACACAAGTTTGGTCCAGGTAGGACTTTCCACTCCTCTAGAAAATTTAGCTCAGAGACAGCATTCTTAATACAAGCTTGGACAGGAATTATAGATACTTGGTAATGAATCTTCCCAAAAGCTTGAGCCTGGTCACTATTGGAAAATGTACAGTACATCAGATGCAGCTTCTGAAGAAAAATGCAAGCTGGGTTTCAAAAAGTAGTTTAATATACTTTGGAAAGGGACCTGCTCCATGCAGTACATTTAAAATGGGTACCAATGCCAACACCAAGGATTTAGAATAGAGTTAATATAATAATTTTGCTGAGGTGAGCTTAAAATGAAATTTCGGAAAGTTATTACTATTTTTTGAATAAGCATTCCCATGGAGTACAAATAACATAAATGAAAATAATGGAATTACAAGTAAAATATATCTACAGATGTAATAAATCAAATAGTTTTGTAAAATTTACAAGTATTCTGATGTTGGAATCACTCACCAACTGCTATAAAAGCCATAAGCCTTATTTGTACCATAAATTAACATGCAACTACATGAGCATAACCACCATTGGACATCGAATAGGTACAATTTGTCCCCAAATTTGTTTTTTTTAAAAAAAAACATGCAAATTAAAACTTCCAAACTGTTACTATTTGATTTACTGCTACAAGAACATAAATGTATAATATGGAATAGAAAGAAAACATTTTATTACTGCTTTTGTAAACTCTTCCCATCCATTCTGCAAACAAAGTAAATTCTTGTTGAAATTGAAAGTGTAAAAGGTGTCATTGATCAATGTTTAGTATACATATGCACCTTTTATAGATTCATACTCTAAATATAATATTGTTACATGAATCTAGATATGTATCGCTTTAGAAGAAAAAATTTATCCAGGTTTCCTGCAACAGATTTGTAAAGAAAACAAACTTTCCATCAAATTGGCTACACAAGTATTACAGGAAAAACAACTCTGACACTTATATATAATAAACATGTGTATTCTTGTAATTTTAGTCCGTAAATTTCTCATTTTTTCTTACACTGCATTTTAGCTTTCAAAAATACCGTAAATCATTTTTTTATTCACAAGCACTTCATTTTCAGCAATAACCACAATACGTGAAAATTTTGTCCAGCTTATAAATACTAAATATACTGTACCTATCTTATTAAAAAAAAAAAAAAAAAAAAAGATGTCATGAAAATTTAGTGATCTACAGTATCATTTATCACTTTCACTATCCACTTTTATGCCCATAAAATTTGACACATGTACCTCTAATCCAGTCTGCATTTTGTCAATAATCGCCTGGACAGAGGCCTCATGTTCACCATTGAAGGATCTGGAGAAATCCCCTGCGCTATTATATGAGAGAGAGGGGGACCGTGTACTCTTCATCTTTGATCCTTGAGTCAGAGATGCAGCATTTATATTTTCTGTGACTTCATTCTTCCTGGCAATACAACTTGCCATAGAATCTCCAATTCTATAAATACATGTAAAATATAAATATCAAACATCTAATTTATTGATCATAACATAACCTTTTGGAAACTGAAATTGAAGTTCCTTATATTTTTTCCCATGTTCAACATTTCCAAATCAATCTACACCAAAACACTTTATTGTCTTTCCATAAAAATTTAGGTTCAAAGATCTATAAGTATATGTATACAAGTGTAATGGGAAAGAAGAAAATGTATGGCTGGAACAGGAAGTGAACCCAGGACAATTCATCACTAGTCAGGTGCTGTACCAGCTGAGCTATCCAGGCCAATATCCATGGCCCAAATCATTACATTTCTCTCTTCTTAAATTGTTTTTGCCCACAAACACAACCCAAGTTCTTATTTGCCCCTAGCAGGACTTTCACTTGCAAGTCCAAGGGTGGTCACTGGTCACAGCACCAAATAATGTAACCGAAAAGAAGAAAATATATGGCTGGACGGAGAATCGAACCTGGAACCTGCATCACTAGTCAAATGCTCTACCAACTGAGATAACCAGGCCAATATCCACTGGCTTATATCATTACACAAGGTAAACTCCAAAGACATTAAAGCAGATCCATTCCTAAAAGAGAATAAGCTAGCTCTGGTTGTAAATTGTGACACACCATTTGATTGAAGATTTACAACATATAAACTGTGTTAACTTATTTCCTACATGTACATGTATGTAACTTTAACATGAGTTATGCAGAAATTAAATAATATGCATCCAGTCAATCTTAACATCTATAGATGCGAAATACATGTATGTAAGAGGAGATAATCATGTAACAACCATACTCAACAGGATCGTTTATTTGAAAACTACATGATGCCAGATGTCAGACCAATTAAAGAAGATCATCCATTCACAAAAGAGAATAATCTAACTCTGGTTGTAACTTGCAACACACCATTTGATTGGATAGAAAATTTACTTTATATAAACATGTAAACTGTGTTAACTTGCACAAGCTTAACAGATTACAAGAAATGGCTTGCATGAAACCCTATATGTTTTAAATAGGAAATAAATTATCCAGGTTCAATAAAGGGTGTACAAGGATTAACCCAGAGTTGTATACCATACACCCTGGGGCCGAATGGAATACAACCCAGGGTGAATCTCCGTACACTCTTTATTGAACCTGGATAATTAATATTGTCTATGTCACGATGACTTGTGTCAAAAAATGTATCAATCTGTCTAAATTTGAATTTTGTACAATTTGAAAGTATTATTTAAGGGTATTACATGTAGTTGTCTTTTTTAACACTAAATTAATGAAAATTAAATTATAAGAAATGGATTTAATACATGTAGCTACATGTGGTGTGGAATAGATTTTTTAAACATCAGCTGAACAAAACTGAAGGATAGATGAACACATAAAATACATGTACATCCATAGATCAAATTATATGTCACACTATGGAAAAAAAAGGAATGTCTGCTTGCACTCCCTGATAGGGATATCATACAAATCATGTAAAACAAGCTAATATACATGTATTTATGTACATGTATTTAATATTTAGCTTTTGTCATGTTTGTTATATGCTTTTTATATCCTAAATCTGTGCATTCTTATGATTAATGCTTTTTGTTTTAAATTAGAGTCAACCTGAAAAGCAGCATACATGCACATGCATGTTCCATCTCTTCATATACTGTGGAATCATTTAAATTCATGGAGGTCAATTTTGCAAAATTTTACTTTTTCAAAGGGAAATAATTTTGTGGGTTTCTCATTTATATGGAGGTTCAATGAATCAATATGTTAACAAAATAAATGTTCATGGGGATGTAAATTCGTGGGTAAGGGTGATCACAAACATTGATCCCCCTAGCTGCAATAATGTAGCCCTCTCCGATTTTTTTTAATCTGATATTTTCAGGAGAGGGCTACAATTCCACTGCATCTCCGTAATGGTGCAAATATATTTTTTAGATACGGGCGACTGCAGGCAAAATAAATTGTTTTTGCACTCAACTTACTTCCAATAAGACGGAATTTTTATTCACTATCAACATCATAGCCCTTTATACGCGAAAATCAAGTAAAATAATTCTGCGTGTTTACCAGTCGTTCTCTTCAGCAGCCATGACAGTTCTCGCGTGATGTACTGAGACTTACGCTTGAAATTTAGAATCGCTTGATAAAGTAAATGTCGGTGTTGATAAATGTTTGTGTTGTATAATATCACTAAACATCGATAAATAAAAGCATTCCATGGGGTATTTTTTCATAAACAGTGATACTTATGCTTAAAATAAGGGAAATATAAAACGATCCACTCCCCTAGATCCCGTATTCTCATTGGTTGTCCCAAAATAAAATCGATCAAGGTCAGTAAACATGGCGGATAAATTTAAGTTGGGATGTTGACATACACGAAAAATAACCGATATACGGATTGTTCTGTATATTTTTGGATCTATTCATGTCTTGAATAACTACATTTTATGAGTTCAGGTAAGATATGTCAATAAAATACCCACTTACTGATAATTTGAGCCGAAATCATTGCGGTAGTGAATCACTCCCGCACTTGCACCATTATGGAGATCCTAAGGAGTTGTAGCCCTCTCCCAAAAAAAAAAAAAAAAATCGGAGAGGGCTACATTATTGCAGCTATGATCCCCCCAAAACAATGATGATTCCACAGTAACCAAGATTTGATGAAATCCTTACAAAACGGTAGGAAAAGCGTCCAGTGTAGTGCCTATAGTGAAGAGCTGTAATGCTGTCTGTAGTACAGTACGATCAGGGCTAGTCATTCCAGCTGACAGGAAGGGAACCAGCTTACTGTCCTACAAAATGAAAACTTACATTCAATATCAAGCCTTGTTTTTCATCATTTTTTTTTTGGTTAAGTCTGTTATTTATAGATATTAAAAAAAAGTTAAAGTACAAGTGAAATAGGAAGATAGTTATAAACAACAGGCCCAAGGGCCACAAAGGTCACCTGAGTTGTTTATTATCAAAGATGAATGATCAAAGGGGAATAACTTCTCTCAAGGTTGAGTAAAAATCAATGAAGCCCTGTCCAAGCTCATGAACCCTGACCCACTGGTTATGAATTTTGCATATCTAATAAAAACGTTGGTCATTACTACTATGTACTTGGATTGCCTGCTAAATGCCTACAGAACAAAGAAGACTTTCAAAAACTCAATGCATTTTTCACTATATAATCAGTAGAGCTGAGCCCAAAAACCAAAACCACTGATCTGGGACCATAATTTTCACAATTAAGGTAGAGGCAATCTTTGCTCATTATAACCATGCTTTTACTTTGTCTGTTAAATACCCAGGAATAGAGAATATTTTCAATGAATTAATACTTTTCACTATATGATCAATGTGGACCCATCTGAACACCAGAACCCTGAACCTTAGGCCATGAATTTCACAATTTAGCTAGAGACATTCTTGCTCATCATAACCATGCACATAGTGTGTCTGGTTAATACCCAGGAACAGAGAATATTTTTTAAAAATTTATGTTTTTTCAATACATGCTCAATATATCCTAGTCCTAACACCAGGAGCCATGACCCTGGGGCCATGAATTTCAGTTTTGGAGGGGAGCACCCTTGCTAATAAAAATCAAGCACTTAGTTTGTCTGCTACATCTACAGGAGGAGAGAAGAAGATTTTTAAAATATATACACATTTTTGACTATATGATCAATAGAGCCCCATCGATCGCCAGGGAGTAGAGAAGAAGATGTTTGAAGGTTGCAATTTTGACGGTTTTTGACCCACCTCTCAGAGAGGCTATGAAATTCAAATTTTTTGTTCCCCTTTGCCAAAAGATGCTAGAAACCAAAACTGGTTTAAATTGGTTCCACAGTTCCAGAAAAGAAGCTGAAAATGTTCAGTTTACGACTGATGCACAGAGATGAACAAAAACAGATAGCAATAGGTTACCTGAGTGACTCAGGTGACCTAAAAAAGGCATGTTTGACTCCAAACCTATAGATCTCTACCTGTAATAATGAACAGAACAAGCCATCCAAATTTGGCATATACTTCCGTAGTTTGGACATCAGCTCCAGGCAAAATATCACAATATGTACCCCGTCTTCACTGAGATATACAAGAGTAGAAAAAAAATGTTATAATAAAAAATGAAGTGAAACATTTGCTTGGTATTTAAAATAAAAACAAAATAATCTTAAAGGAAATGCTGTGGTATAATACTGACTTTTGTATCACAGTTGAAATTATGAATTCATTATGCTTTTAACAGCATGAACAAAACACAGAATGAAAGTAAACAAAACATCAAAAATACATGTAGTAATACTGCAGTTGGTTTTTTTTAATGTTTTGTTTCTTATCAGACTTAGTATGTACTGGCATTGTATAAACAGAACCTCTTTAATTTTCTTTCACTGCATAATCAATTATGAAGTACTGTATACACATTCAAATAAAAACAAATATAATTTTACATGAGGATCTCGTTCATACACTGACCTCCAATCTTCACACCCCACGGCCACATTACTGATATGACGTGTGACTCGGTTATTGGTCAGCTGGAAGTTCAGTAACTCTGTGTAAACAGAGGGACTAAACATGGCCACCATCTTCTTCCTGATGTCATCTTCTCCAGATAACACTGAAACATTCAGAGAAGATATCTGTACATTCACCTGAATGTCCATGCAAGAACAATACAAATTCATTGCTACACAAACACGCACTTTCAGAAAATAGATATCGTTTCAAGGACATAAAGTAACATGTACCGGTAGATGTAAGTAAATATATCTGACATAAACTGAAAATTTAATGTTCATGATGTTCAGTCATATTTCTTTGAAATGCAAAATACTGCTACCAAAAAGCGTATTAAATAGGTCTCCATTATCACGGTTTGGCTGGAGTACCTGATAAGACCTCTGAGGACTTTGTTATCATGAGGATGTGAGAAACAAAATGTTCTTCTACAGCAAAAGATGTCTCTATACTGTCTCTATACTGTCTCTATACTGTCAATTTCTATTTTTATGAATTCTCTGGTTCCTGGTTGAAGCTGTAGTGACACAGCACCTGTATGTTTTCTGATTTCTGTTGCTTCTACCTATTACATGTTCATAACTACAGTACATACAGTCAAACCTCAATATCTTGAACTCAATGGGAGTAAGGAAAAACTTTGAGATATCCAAGGGTTCTAAATATTGAGGGTAAAATACAAAGAGAAAAAAATGATTTGGATTTCTCATCTTTGACATATCCACAGTATTCAAGATATCAGTGTTCAAGATACCGAAGCTCAACAGTATACTTATTGTACCAGATAGAAGCTGTAGCGACTTGACTTTCTTTCTGCACTGTTTCTTTGGCATACACATTTCACTGTCTATATCAACTTCTGAATTCAGTGCGGATAATAACACTGGTAAAACAAGGTCTGCATGAACAGAGTACTTCAGTCTGGTGTTGGAATAAATCAGTTCCTACAAACAATACACATAAATATAAATTCACAAAAATACCAAAAAGTCTTGTCTTCCATTTTTAAAACTGCAAACAGAGTAACATAAACATTGCCTGAGGTTTGAAATTTTCTTTATCAGCAAATGTGAAAGGGCCATGAAAGAAAAAATTCTCAAAGAAATACTACAATTCTGAAATATTTACAAAAGATAAGCATTTACCTTTCTTGTTAAAAAAAACATAAAGACTTTATAGATTAAAAACACATGTATCAAGTATCAACATGCATGAAATGCAGGAATAAATACAAGGTACAATAAACAAGCTGTATGAATATCACTTTTCTTTGTCATATATATACAGTACCTCATAAATTTCCGTGAGGAAATCCAATGCATACATGGGTGCCTCATCATGGGTGTCCGGGGATTGGTTTGCCCAGTGAACTATGGCCAGTAATGGTTCCTTGACCTGATGAACTGGACCAATCAACATGTCTGAGAATTGAGGCCTAACCCCGAAATCTAGTGTGGACAACACACTTCTACATATTAAACATCTTAGTCCCTCTACAGAACAGAAACACAGCAGCAACTCAAACACCTAAAAGGAAGAAAGTCAATTTATATACATGATGTGTTCATGCAGGTACACCGTGTATCAGGACCAGTCACTGGCATTTTTGACAGATTGAGCAAAGTCCAATTTATGGACAAATATTTTCTCTCTGAATTTGACCATGGGTCTTCACTTTGTTTTGTAAAATATACTTAGTAGATTAAGTCCTGTGACCACTAACCTGAAGGCTTACTATCAGGATTATAAGAAACATAAATCTATGCATCAACACAATTTATGGGTCAATCAAATCTAAATTTTCTATTAAAATAGGGTCAAAATGAACTTCAATATCAAATACAAGTATTTTTAAAAAAGAAAAACCAAACAACTTCACCATAACTACTGTTTCTGGAGTGCTTGCAGGAATCAATTTCAGTATTCCATCTATATAAACTGGAAGACGACTGAATCTAAAAAATGGACAAAACAAAATTTCAGTGATCATCCTTTGTTTGGAAATTTATCAATTACTGTACAGCAGGAAATTAACTCGCGGAGTTAATATTCGCGGAAATAAAACTTCTGTGAATTCAACATACAGTGAATAATTCTTCAAAAATTGATAAGGATAAGTTGAAATATTGCCGATATTTGTGATTAGATTCGTTAACTCTATTTGTGTTTCCTTGCAAGCATAAAAGCAGTAATTAATATAGCAGAGATATAGGCTGTCTTCCTAATTATGCGGGTGAACGGATCAATTACTAACACATAGTTGTTGATTTTTTTTAAAGCTTAATTGAAAAAAACATCTATAACTGCCATCCAGTAGAGCTGCAATGTAATTATCTCTAAAACATGTATTGTTAGATTTCACCCATGTGTATCACTCAGTCTTATTATCTTTAATCAAGGCACTTACGTAGTAAAGACAACACTGTTACACATTAATTCAATTTTATTAGCAGTTCAACATTTCGATTATCGATACTGATTATTCAAAGGGATTTAAACATACTGCAGTAAATACTACTCTGTACGCTACTCAAAACATACTTATGAACGAACACCTGCCAAAGGGCTTCTTTTTTTGTACATGAATGTTTTGGATACGACTTGAAATCACTTGAATAAATCACTCGAGTATAGACTCATATATATTTCAAAAAAATTTAACAAAAATACAACAGAAAGAAAGAAAAAAAATTATCTGAATGCTTAATATTGTAAATCGTACAACATTTTGTTTTCTAATCGGGATCAGTATGGTGTTTCGTTCTCGGGTTCAGAATCGACATAATACGTAAGGAAAATATTTGCAGTGCTGAAAGAAATTTTTGTACATTAATTTTTCCTTTCCGCGAATTCAAACGACCGCGATTTGCTGCAAGTTGAACAAATCGCAATCTTTTCCGACCGCAATTTTAACCTGCTGTACAGTACTGTAACTATGCAATCTCCTTTGTTTTTCTCTAAAACTGTTTTTCTGTATCGGCTTTTAATGATTGAACATAAAACAAAGTGGATATCTATCCTTACAACTCAAGAGATTAGCATGAATTCCATAATCTCAGGTTACATCTACCATTTTATAAATACTTTATAGTTTAATCCTAAATTCTATAATATGCTGTATAGAGCCTTACTTGGACAATTCACCCTGTATTTGTCCGTCCTTGAGCATTTCTTTAAACAGATCCACACCATATCTCCGTGACATCCAAGTCTCTCTCTTCAAGATGATGTTAAAGATGGACTTGAACACTGATTTCAGGTTGGATGGGTTAAAAATCTGTACAACATTTTTTTAAATATATTCATCAGGATTGCTGTGAAAATTTTTAATCCTGAGTTAAATTTACCTTTTTTTCCACAATATCAATAAAAATCATATTTTATTTTTTGATGCACATCTCAAGGAACATAAACAAGGCTCAGAAAATTAGGTTAAATCCTTTTGCTCATCCGTCTCCTTAATCAGTCAGGGGTGAGACTGAAAATCATCATTTTTAAAAATGATGATTTCTAGTCATAAACTTGAGTTTTAATAATGACTAAAATTCATCATTTTGTAGAATAATGATGAAAAACAGCCATAACTATTTGGAGTTTATTTTAAAATATAGAGTTATTTCTAAAAATAAATATGACTGTATTTCATCATTTTTTATCAAATTGTTAGGTCTGGGCGCACTTAATTATCTCGTTAGTTTTACGGGGCGCACTAATTTATTTTGGTTTCAGTTGTTTGTCAAGATGTTTCTCTACACATGGGTCCATGGCAGGATAGTGTATTGTATCTTATAACTGTAGTAAATGGGTTGGAATAATTCACTTGGGAATGGAAATATGATAAAAACAAGTCATATTTACAAAAATAACCAGAAGTCTCTGATGAGACTGTAGCTCTACTGGTCTGTACATATAACAAAGGAAAAGTAGCACTTGGATTTGAAACTTTGCAACATGCAACAATAAAAAGAATTATGTATCTTAATTTAATCTACTTCTATGCCAAGTTATATTGAAATCAGAAAACTGTTGGAGGAGTAGCGTTTTAAAGGGATTTCACAAAAATTTCTATTTTTAGTAACCATGGCAACACCCTTCATCAAAATCAAAAACCATGCACTAAATTATGTATCTTAGTGTAGTCTACTTGTGTGCCAGGTAATATTGAAATCAGACCAAAACTGTAGGAAGAGTAGCGTTTTAAAGGAATTTCACAGAAATTTCTATTTTTAGTAACCATGGCAACACCGTTCATCAAAATCAAAAACCGATGCACTAAATTATGTATCTTAGTGTAGTCTACTTGTGTGCCAAGTTATATTGAAATCAGACTAAAACTGTAGGAGGAGTAGCATTTTAAAGAATTCACAGAAATTTCTATTTTTAGTAACCATGGCAACACCGTTCATCGAAATCAAAAACCGATGCACTAAATTATGTATCTTAGTGTAGTCTACTTGTATGCCAAGTTATATTGAAATCAGACCAAAACTGTAGGAGGAGTAGCATTTTGAAAAATTGTTTACAGACAGACGAACAGACAGACAGACGGACAGACAGACGGACAGACAGACGGACGGACGACAGACACCTTACTATCGCATAAGCTCTTCTGGTCTCTGACCAGTAGAGCTAATAAAAACACGTACATTATGTAGTTAGAAGAAATGACAATTATCAATCATTTTTAAATATGACAGATTTCAGTCTCACCCCTGACTGTTAATATTCAACATATACATTATAAATTCTACGTTTTATTAATTGATACCCTACCATACAGGAACATACATGTAGACAAACTTACCCTGTCATATTCCTGGTCATGAAGCCAAACACTAGTGACCACAGAGAAAGAATAAATGACAAAATCTAGGCTACTCTCAGATCCTAACATATGATTCAACAAGGTCCTCTTCAACTGTTTGGAGTGTTCCTGAAATCCAGAAATAGTTACAATGTAAATATGTACCAGCATACACTGCATGTATTAATACTGTATACAGGTTTATTTTCATCCCGTGTTATTTTCGCCCTTTCAGCCTTGCAAAGAATTTTGCCCCATTTTAAATTCGCCCAGTCACAATTTTGTTTGAGAAATTATACTGTGTTTTTTTAATTCGCCCCATTTTGAATTCGCCCACCTGTGAGAAGGGCGAAAGGAGCAAAAATAAAACGGGGGAGAAATCCCTGTATGCAGTTAATAAATGGTCAAGTCACTGCGAAATTTTAACATTATTACAGTGTTGAACATTAAGACATGACTGAATCTAGTAAAAGATGGGGGCATTGTTGGATTTAGTTTCACGGAAGCCCAACTGATTGTTTTGATTTTGCTTATTGGATGGTGAATTTTATTATTGAAAGTACTATTTAACATGTACCATGTGTATGAATTCAATTGTATTTTCAATTTTTAAAGAATTAGGAGCTAAATTATTTGTCATTTCTCCCTTTTAATAAAACTATTTTTGCAAACTTTAGATATCTGATGTAAACGTTACAATGTACAGTAACTGACGGTGGACAAATTTCATGACCAACACAGAGACCTGAGTGTACCTGTCCATTATGTCACCTAATGTAGCCAATGTTTATGTAAATGTAAATGCCCCAAATGTCTGTTTTCCAATATATTTTACAGCCTTTTTGAAGGTATTGGAATTTTCCATTAAGAATGTTGAGAAAAGTCCTCAACATTACAATAGCTGAGAGACAGTACAAAAAAAAGATTGATTCCATCGATTTAAAAAGAAAATCGTAATCATGCAAGGTTTTCTTTGGGTATTAAAATCAAGGGCTTGGGCCTCTCCATTTGGGAAAAATGGCAACATTAGGTTGAAATTAGGAAAATATCATATTAACATTTTTCTAAATAAATTCAAATAAGTGTGGGTTTTTTTTCCATTTGCAAGGTATTTACTGACTTATTTTACATTCAGTCAATCAGTTTTTGGAGCATGCTTTTTAGATTTTTTTTTAACACCACCCCTGAAATACATGTTACTGAGTTCGGACATTTTTTTTTACCATATTTGCTTGTTTCGCTTGTCTTTTGGGAATTTTCTTTTATGAAATTGGGAAAAACACAAATTTTTTACCATTGGGAATGGGGCAGAATACAGGTCCCCTACCACCCCTTAGGCCTAAAAAAATCTGTAATGATAATCCTGTTGACCTTGAAGCCAAATAGTTCTATCTGAACAAAATTGGAATACACATATAAAATCCTTGGAATTTAAACCTTTACTGTAAAATGTGTGATGACAGTTTCTAACACACATGCACATAACATAGGTCATAATAATGTTACATTTAAGGGCCCTCTCTCCACCCCCTGACTTGTGACATATGTTGAGAAATCATATCTCTTCTTCCTGTTTTGAACATATAGTTTCTGCAATGAAGATTTGGGACTACCTATAGGAGATATTGAAACAAAGTCTTACAAACACTTTAGCAATTAAGCAGGGTTCTCCATGAGCTGTTTTACTGTGTCGGCCCCTACACAGTAAAATTTTCCCCAATTTGATTCCATAAACAACTAGTAATATTATCCAATCGTCTTTCACCGTTTAAACTTTAGTCATTCAGTGCGGATTTCATTCAATATGGTTGAACTCGGAGGCTAATCGAAGGTGAAAATGGAGCTGATCTCTCGAGACGGACGATGAACAGTCCCTCAAATATTGTGAGGATGACCAAAAGCAGTTATATTTTTAAACGTTGCTCTAAAATAGAGTGCAACAGATGACAAGTACGGAAAAAAAAGGTAATGCATGAAAATTGCATGGAAAAAATGGTGTAGGGTTAACGACGGCGACCTAATTCTCGGAAGTTCGAATATTTTTTTCTAAGTTTTAGTAAAGTAAGTTAAATGACCAATTTATGACAATAAATAACAACATTCTGCCTTTCGACTGGCAAAACTTTTTCATGGGTTTTTTGAATATAAATCGAAGTTTTTAGAGTTTGAAGCGAGGCACCGAGGAATTAATGGCAGTTCATTAGGTCCCTTCTCCCCTATCATACTATTATACCCGATTTTGCCAAGACTGTCTCAAGTCCCTGTGATACTGAACACTGATATTTTACCATGTTTTTGAGATGGGACTGTACAGCAAAGTTGTCTTTACACAGATTGACTAACAGTCCCAGACAGACCTCTGTACAATCCTCAGCAGGGTCAGTTCTGAAAGTAAAAGACATTTCCTGAGTTCAAAATCACCCATAAAGCAGCAGTTTTCTGTAAAATATTTACACTGAGACACAAAATCAAGCATGATTTTCAAAGTGTGTGCTAAATCGATACAGTACACATATTTGAAAGATTCTTGTGGATAAATGTTATTATAATATTGCGAATTATAATACCCTTTGAAAAAATTTTCCCTGTAATTATGCATTATATCTATAATGTTTCATTCTAAGATCAATGATATTTTCTGAAAACACAGTTAAACTTCGTTTTCTCAAACTCAATGGAGCCAGAAAAAGTTTCAAAGACTTGAGATATTGAGGTTTAAATACATAATGAACAAGACAACAAGAGGCCCAGGGGCCACATCGCTCACCTGAGCACTAAGGCTAGGAAAAAGCAGAAATCAGTTCAGTCTTGAAAGGTTGAAAAGTTTAAATAAAAAAGTGGTTCGGGGTGGGGGGTGGGGGGTGGGGGGGGGGGGGGGTCATGAATTGAACAAATTTGAATCTACATTATCTGAGGATGCTTCCATTTAAATATGACCAAATATGGCTTTGCTGTTCTTGAGTAGAAGATTTTTAAAGATTTAACCTATGTATTCCTATGTAAAACTTTGATCGCCCATTGTGGCCCCACCCGACCCCCGGGGGTCATGATTTGAACAAACTTGAATCTAAACTACCTGAGGATGCTTCCATGTAAATATGACCAATCATGGCTTTGCTGTTTTTGAGTAGAAGATTTTTAATGATTTTTCCTATATATTCCTATGTAAAACTTTGATCGCCCATTGTGGCCCCACCCGACCCCCGGGGGTCATGATTTGAACAAACTTGAATCTACACTACCTGAGGATGCTACCATATAAATATGACCAATCATGGCTTTGCTGTTCTTGAGAAGAAAATTTTTTAAAGATTTTTCCTTTATATTCCTATGTAAAACTTTGATCGCCCATTGTGGCCCCACCCGACCCCCCGGGGTCATGATTTGAACAAACTTGAATCTACACTACCTGAGGATGCTTCCATGTAAATATGACCAATCATGGCTTTGCTGCTCTTGAGAAGAAGATTTTTAAAGATTTTTCCTATATATTCCTATGTAAAACTTTGATCGCCCATTGTGGCACCACCCGACCCCCGGGGGTCATGATTTGAACAAACTTGAATCTACACTACCTGAGGATGCTACCATATAAATATGACCAATCATGGCCTTGCTGTTCTTGAGAAGAAGATTTTTAAAGATTATTCCTATATATTCCTATGTAAAACATAGATCGCCCATTGTGGCCCCACCCGACCCCCAGGGGTCATGATTTGAACAAACTTGAATCTACATTTCCTGAGGATGCTTCCACATAAGTTTCATATTTTCAAGCACAGCTGTTCTTGAGAAGAAGATTTTTTAATGATGCCATTAATTTTTCACGAATTCTTAATTATCTCCCCTTGGAAGAAGGGGTGGCCCTTCATTTGAACAAACTTGAATCCCCTTTACCCAAGGATACTTTGTGGCAAGTTTGGTTGAAATTGGCCCAGTGGTTCTTGAGAAGAAGATGAAAATGTGAAAAGTTTACAACAACAACGACGACAACGACAACAACAACGACAGACAACGGACAAATTTTGATCAGAAAAGCTCACTTGAGCCTTTGGCTCAGGTGAGCTAAAAAGTGATTGTGATTTCAAACTCACTTAGACATATGCATTTTATTCGAGATATCGATATTCAAGAAACAAGTTTAACTGTATGAGGTTTTACCATTATACATTACATGTTCTTATTGTGCTACTTGGTGAGCTTGAGGATGCATTAATTTATTTTTCATCTGAATAAACTAAATATACAAATGTTTCAAAATATGCCATTGTTTAAAACCAAGGCAAATTATCATTTCTTTCTATTTTACAGGATCTAAATATTTCTTGGCAAACCTTATATGTGTAGAATGATACAGCAAGTCATAACAAACTTAACATATGTGTGGAACATTAAAATCTACCAAGCCCTAGTAAACCTTATATGTGTGAAATGCTGAATTCTAACAAATCCTGGCAATTGGTAAACCTTTCAAATATGTGTGGAATGATAAAATTTAGCAAGTCTTGGCAAACCTTGCATGCATGGAATGATAAATTCATAGCAAGTTGAGGCAAATCTTACATGTGTGGAATGATAAATTCTAGCAGGTCTTGCACATAAGATTCCTGGAGTATCATTTTATGTCCATATATTATTATTTGTAACAGATGAAGGGACTGAAAGAGAAAATAAAAACATTGATTAACACTGTAGTCAGAAAGTTCCAAAGTGGAATTTCATTACCTGTGATAATGGCGACATCATGCAAACATGAATATGTATCAATCAGTAACTTAACTGTCAAACATGAAGCTTAAGTCAGCATTACAAATTGACACAGGACATACATGTAAATACTTTCATACATGTATCAGATATTCTATTAAAGATATGCACTAGGATATAAATGTAGATAATCTATTGTATAAGAATTTAAGAAATACTTTAGTACTGAAAAAGATGAAAAATATTGCATCTACCTCCATGCATAATGGATTAACAGAAGGATTATGCTTGATTATCTCTACCAAGACAGGTGTCAGATTAAATGACTCGTGGAAAGATTCTCGAATTTCTTTTTCTGCAGCTGAAAAATAGAATAGAAGAAACTTACAGACTTGTGGTAGTACTATGTGAAAGTAAGGGATCTTCAAGTATTTCAAATACCTTCCATAAATACCTAGGTTTCTCAGAAGCTGAAGACACTTAATGACAAGTGACGGCTTCATTTCACTGGTCTCACTCAAGATATCAATAATCACAGTCAAACATTCTGTAGGTAAAAGGTTTCGAGGATGGAAAAACTTCAAATCTGATCCACGAGAAGTTATGCCCAAGAGGACCTGTTAAAAAAAGGCAAAAATTATTTACAGAGGAAAGATATTTCCTGAATCCTATCCTGCTGACAGTAAATAAAACACTGTATTTCTCCATGTTCTCTTAACATGCTTAATGTACCATCACTAATCACTAATACAATCATACTTAAATTTCTGATAATTTTGAAAATTTTAACAATATCTGTATTCTCATTAGACATGTTTGCATTTTTTTAATTATAAAGAAATAATGCATTGTACAAAATGAATTAAGTTTATGAACATGATGAAATTAACATGATTATAGATAATTATCATAATAATCATAATAAAAATTAAACATATTATTGAGAATCTAACTTGCACCAAAAAAAGACAGCCATTTGATAGTACTTCATTATGGACACAATTTCCATCTTGTTTTTTAAAAGGATAATACTGTTGATTTTTTATATTAAATAGTAGGGCTGGGCAATAATCCAATATTTCCGTATATTGCGGTATGTCGACAAAAAAAATATCGTATTGCAATATGTTTTTGAAATACCAATTTACCAGCAAAATGCTTGGACTCAGGGATTCTATCATAAAATACAGAGAAAAATTGTCAGAAAATTGTCACGCCAAATAGAAAGGCAAAAGCTGTTGTATGGGTGTATTTAGTTGTACAAGTGTAATTCAATCAACAAGATATCTTTTATTGGTTATTTATCAACCTGATGCAACCTTACATACACATCATAAAAATGTAGAAGGTATTGAGAATGCCCTTAACTTTGATTTGTGTGAGATTGAAAATTGGTATTCAAAAAATCAAATGGTGTTGAATATCAATAAGACAAAATGTATGCTTATGGGAACTCAACATAGAAAATCAAAGATAAATTCTCCTGAATTAAATTTATATGCTTCAAACAAAATAATTGAAAATGTTGAATCTGAAAAACTTTTGGGAGTACATATTGATCATTCATTGCGCTATAATTACCATATTGACTCAGTTTGTAAATCTTTGATGTATAAATTATATACCTTACGCAGAATTAAAAAATTTCTCCCATTACACACAAGAAAACTATTCTATAATGCATACATTCTGCCTTCTTTAAATTATTGTCTATTTGGGGTAATGCGCCAGGTGCTGGCATAGATAGAGTTTTTAAATTGCAAAAAAGGGCAGCCCGGATTATACTAGATGTGGCTTATGATGCCCCTTCACTACCATTATTTGAAAAACTTGGATGGCTGACCATATATGAGTTGATTGATTTTCATAAATATGTATTACTGTACAAAACACTTCATGGTATGGCACCTGATTATTTAAGAGACTCTTTTGATTTTATTTCTTCTAATAATTATGTTTTACGATCTGAAACCAACTATGACCTTCGTCTACCGAAATATCGAACAAATCAATTTAAAAATTCTTTTCATTACTCCGGTGTTCATTTATGGAACAAATTACCTTTGTATATACGTTTTTCACCAACTGTACACACATTTCGTAAAAATGTGGAAAAATTTATTATAACTTGCCGCAACACTGTTTAAGTAACGTAATTCCATGTCCTAAACTTTTAATTGTACTTGTATTTTTACATCATGTATTATTTAATTAGTGTACAATGTTTTCATAATTGTATTATTATTAATATGTTTAGAGGGCCCCGAGGAAGACTAGTGCATTGCACTAATCGGGTTACCCTCTTTAAATAAAGTATTATTATTATTATTATTATTATTATCATAGTTATGTACATTCTACATGTAAAAGGAAGTTAATATAATGAGAAAATTTTATTTAAATTTTTGTTGAAAATATTGCAATTAAAAATATCGCAATACGAAATCTCTAGCCAATACCAAGCCCTATAAAATAGGATGATTGTTATTTTACTGGTGAAATATCTTATCTTTAAAAACAATGAAAATTCAGATCTCTGTGAAAGATTTGGGAACATGTGTGTGCATGTATATTGAAATTAGTTTTGATAATCTTTTAATCAAGCATTTTGATTCTCAATGTGGGTTACTTAGCTGCAGAACTGTAGCATTATAGTTTTATATTTTAGTCTTTGACAATAATGCTACAGATACCGTAATGCAAATATGGTGTAATTACAGTGCAAGATTTTCAGTGCACGGTTGTTGAGAATTTCTCCATTTTCCAGCTTTGCATGGTCAATCATTCAACTACCATTCACTCCCTAATTCTAGACACATTCTTTAACCAATACAAAGCATTAAACTCGCTTGTTTTGAATTTTCTGCCGACAAAATATCTAAACAAGCGAGTTTATTTGTCTGTAGAGACGACTATAAAGAATTAGGAGGTGGATAAAATATATACTAGGTTGGTTAAAGAATTTGTCTAGAATTAGAGAGTGAAAGGTACTTGATTGACCAATGCAGGAAAGTGGAGAAATTCTCCCCAATCATGCGCAGAAAATCTTGCACCGTAAATTGCATCATGGGATCTGTAGCATTAAGACCAAGACTAATATATAAAACAATAACAAAGTTCTGAGCTAGGGGTTTTATACTGCAAAAGTTCATAAGATCTTCTTTAACAAAACCAAAACAAAAAAAAAAACAAACATACATCCAGTTGGTGTTGGAATAAAACCATGTTGGAGTTGTTCCTGCTGAATCTATACTGATTCGCTGTCATGATGACAGTTTTGATCACTGATGCCTTTTCCATACTCTCCGGATGCCAGTGGTGAATAATTCTACAAGCAAAATGAAAAAACAACTATTTTGAATGAACTTGTCAAAGAAACTGTTTCCTTCTTACTAAGTACTGAACTTTTTTATAACAGTCAATTAACAACATTTACCCCCCCCCCCTTTTCCACCAATATGTTACATGCAAGACAGTGAAAGGTTATAATCTCATCTGCCTGCTTTTTTTAATGATTTTGTCTTCAATTTTTTCACTACAATCAAGTTCCTAAATACAACCCTGCTATACTTTTTATTTTTAATTTTATTACGATTTTTCCAATAAATAAAACCCCGCTTTGTTTACATTTGCACAGACATGTTCGGATACTTACATTCCGCAGATTTTTGTCCGTCAAACATTAAATTTGCTTAAAGTTAATCTGAACAGCATATATAGAACATTTCGTCATTAAAATCGAAAGTATATCACAGCTTAATGGCACTAATAATTCCATTTGTCATTTTCCAATTTATCATGTCGTAGCTCACAGCCGCCATTTTGAAATTTAAACTTCCCGCCAGAGTTAGAAAAAGATTAAATTTCTCTAGAGAACCTGATGAAATGCTATCAGTGCAAAAATGTTAAATATGTTGTGTTTTATATGAGTGTGAATCTATTATTTCTACTGCAATTTTTTTTTAAAGAATTAAACTCAGTCGCGAAATTGTGAAATAAATGAAAACGGATCCGTTATAAAATGATATTGAGGATGAAAAACATTTCATTTTGCTCTGTCCGAAATATGAAGCACAGAGAAAAATATTCAAAACAAAATTATCTACTTTCCCTAATTTCAACCAAACAATCCATAATAATGACAATTAGTTAAAATCATTGATGAAACCAGGTGTAAAAGCCCAGATAGCAAGACTACATCGGGCCAACGTTGGCTGATGGTTGGTAGGTTGGTATAGTGTTGGCGTTGGGCGGTAAATGTTGGCCCAACATTGGCCCAACGGATGATACGTTGGCGTGAAAGCTGGTCTGTCGGTGTCGGGTATGCAATGTTGGGCCAATGTTGGTCCATTGTAGTAAATGTTGGCATGAAACATGACCATTATATGTTGGGCATTTGATGTTGGTCCAACGTAGGTCCAACCAAGTAGATGTTGGCTTAAAACAAAGCCACTGTGTGTAGGGATGTAATGTTGGCCCAACATAGGGCCAACCAAGTAATGTTGACATAAAACACATGAAAAATGTGTGTTGGGCATGTAATGTTGGTCCAATGTTGGCCCAACGTAGTAAATTTTGATTATAATGAGGTATTGATATGGCTTTCAATGTTGGCCCAGCGTTGTTTCAACGGAGTGAATATTGGGATAAAAACAACTTTCATTAACATACATGTTGGTGATCTGTTAATTACGCATATTAAATTTGTATCTTTTAGAACCAATTAAGCTTCTTTCAATAGAGACATCTCATCTTTCGTTAAAATATTATGAACAAGGGATTATCTTAATATCCCATTTATTAATATTTTACAGTGTATTTGTTAATAAAAATGAAAAAAAAATTATTCCAGAACCTAATTTATGAAATAAGATTTTTAGTACTGACTTATGTTTGTAATTTGTGTCCGAGACCATTGCAAATACATGTAGAAGTTTTAATTATTCTGCATAGTGTATAATTTTGTAGATTCTATATTTAGCATCATGGAACTTAAAGTGCTGAATTTTAGAGCTCCAAATAATTAGGTCAGTGGTGAAATCCACTGGCTCAGCAGGTGACTGGCCGGTTTCCTAGGAAACAGGCATCCTAATCAGCTCTGTTTCGTAAACTCGGAGTGGTCACATCTTATCACTTGCAACACTTGAACAAAGCATATACATGTGCGTGTCCGTTTTGAATCGCAAGAAAGAGAAAATGGATTGTTTTAGCCCTTGAAATGTAAGTATAGTCGTTTTAGGTGTGATTGATAGAATTTTATCTCTGTGAAAGTTTTAACTTGAGCATAGTTTGTAAAATTGAACCAGTTATTCAAGAACTGCAATTTTCAAAAATATGCATGTATATTTACTAGTAATGTGGTTCAGTTATGACTTATAAGTAGTAAGTGACATCATTTTTGAACGGATTAAACTGATATATTTTTTTGTATCTCTTATAGCATCTGGTGGGGAGAAAACCCTCTGTATTACAAGACCACTGATGTTTGGAATTTAATGGACAGTGAGTGATTTATCTCAATTATCAGTGTGAGAGTCATGGATTTTACGGACAAAGAAACAATAACATGAACAGGAAAAAAGGAGTGAATTAATGGTTCAGAAGTAATATGGGCAGGAGAACATTCCAAAGTTTCACAAATTTGAACACTGGGACTCTTATTATAGAGGAATATTATATAGTGACTGAAGTGATATGGGATAGACTTAAGAAAACATTGAACTACCTTTATTTCCGTCTGTTGATTTCATTCCATAAGAGTGACAAAAAAAAATAAAACTTTTGTTTGAGGAACAAGCTCATTTTCCATGCAGGATTTATTCAATCAATTGTGTTTTACTCGTAATTATGGAAATAAAAAGGTTACAGGAATTCATATTGTTGAACTAAAATAATTCAATCGCCGATCATTTGCCAACATGTTTATAGAACGTAGGGCCAACGTTGGTCCAACATTCATTCTTAACTTTAAAAAAACATTGAACCAACACTGGGCCAACAGGAAGTTAAACATCGGGCCATTGTTGGGCCAATGCCAGATAGGGCTGGGACGATACAACTTTTTCTATATCGATACGTATCCCGATATTTGAGCCACGAGACGATATGTATCACGATATGTTTAATTGGTTATAAATTCTTTGTTTATATTGAAATGAACAAGACATTTCTTCACAAATAAGAATAATTTATTCAAAGAAGTTGTATATCTGTTGTAAAACTTAATTATTTTGGTCTTAATTATTATGTATTTCATATTCATATTTATACTAAGCATATTTATTTTACATATTAAACCCAAAATGTTAAGTTAACAAAGAAAAACATTAGTAAGAATTTTTTGGGCAATATGTCGATATTTCTTCATACGTATCGATATGCGTATCATCCTCACATTGAATCGATATTATCGATATCTCGATATATCGTCCCAGCCCTAATGCCAGATAGCCAACCATCAAATGTTGGCCCAACGTCGCGCCAACTTGTTGGTTGAACGTAGGGCCGATGAGCAAGATGATGTTGGGCCAACGCATAAAACTGACATAGGGCCAACGTAATTTTCACCGTTGGGCTTGCGTTGGCCCAACGTAAGCTTGCTATCTGGGAGGGTTCTTGAAATATTATCTTCATTTTTTATGTCAAATATCTGATATTAGAAAAAATGTTCTAGCTATAAATGAGTAACTACTTTGTTATGAATCACCTAGTATCTGATGAGTACACTACATTATTTGCTACACCAATTGTTTGTATTCTAGTTGTGTTCTACTGTATTATTATACTTATTAATGTGTTCTGTATGGGCCTTTACCAATTACTGTAATTGTGTTTGTGCCAATAAAATATTTGTATTTGTATTTGTAAAATTCTCAAAAACATGCCCTGTTCATATTGAACAACAGTTAATTTTTTGCAGACGATTTATTACTTGTATCTGAATCAGTAGATGGGCTACAACAATGTCTTAATTCATTGGAAAGATATTGTAGTGACTGGAAGTTAGAAGTAAATACACAAAAAACTAATGCTATTGTATTTTCTAGTAAAAACCTTTAAAAATTGAGTTGTAAGTTTAAAGAAGATGTTATTGCTTTTGTTGATGAATATAAATATTTGGGTGTTGTCCTAAAAAATAATGGTAAATTGAAATATGCATGCGAGAATTTAGCAGGTAGAGCAAGGAAAGCATATTTTACAATCAAATCAAAATTACCAAGCAATCTTAGTCCCTCAGGAAAGGCTCAGTTTAAGATATATGAATCATGCATTATGCCAATTTTGACTTATGCTTCTGAAATCTGGATAAGTGATTTTAAAAAAATGATAAAAGACTTTGATAAAACTCCATTCGAAAAAAATCAAAATTTCATCTTGAAAGACATTTTAGGTGTCCATAATAAAGCTTCTAATTTAGCAGTTAGAGTAGAGTTTGGTGCACTTCCCATTATTTTCAGGATATATAAATTATTATTTAGATATTATTACAGATTACAGAAAATTGTTTCAGATCAGTAGAACTCAAACTTGCTTTTGCAACATGCATATTTAGAGGATGAAAAACTTGCAGGAAATGGAAAAACATGTTGGAAAAACTGTATACAAACTATACTTGATGAAGTTATTGGTTCAAATGCTAATACATTATCAATAAATGATTTTGAAAATAATTTGAAAAAGTATTTTGAGAATATAGTTTTTAGGGATATGAGACATATCAAAGAAAAAGGTAATGGCAAATTATCATTCTACAGCCAGTTAATAAGTCAAGAAAATCTAAACAAGCTTGAAATTCAACCATATTTAAATTTTTCCATTTCCAAAAATCTTCGCTCTTTTTTGACTCGATTAAGAATAAATGCCCACAAATTACAGATAGAGGTTGGCAGATATTGTAAACCAATTATACCAAGAGATGAAAGATATTGTATTAATTGTCAAACTGTTGTTGAAGATGAACATCATTTTTTATTTGTATGTCCACTTTATGAACAACTATAAGAAGTGAATTTTGTACACTTTTTAACAATACATGTATATCTTATGAAATTCTTAATCCAGCAGATGTTAAATCAACAAGAAATATTTGTAACTTCATACGTGATGCATTTAATATAAGAAAATCTGTGTGACTAAATATTTGTTTACTGTATGTATGACTTGCGCCACATGTGGTTTTTGTCAAATTGAATAAATAAAAAAAAAAAAAGATTACTGGGACGGATCCAATTGAACTCATGTCAGTGGTGGATTTAGAATGTTGCTATCATATTGTAATTTTTGATTTTACCAGGTGGAGGTTAATACAAAATTTACAAAAATTTCACATTTACCTTCACCAAGTAAACATGATACATGTAACTATAGTGCACTGAGCCCAAGCCCAGTAACATTAACTATACATGTAGAGGTTATGATAAAACGGTGCATGCTGTTAAATTTGCTCTTTCCTCTGAACTTATTTTCTAAATTATCTATTTATCTAATTTATTTTATTTATTTATTTATTTATTTATTTATTGAGGTGTTGAGGCATGGAGGGGGGCACCCAGAAAATAATTGACCAGCAAAAATATAAAGTATCTGAAAAAACTACTTAGAAAGAAAACTAGACCAAAAAAAATGCAAAAATAGAAAAATAAAACACAGTCTCTCTATTAATTATATAAATGTTTATTCCCTTTTTCTTTTTGATAAAATAACGTGAGGGTTTAAGTATATAATGCAACAAAAATTAGAGATACCAAAAGGCTTTTCAGTGAAAATT